CACTTTCACAGCATCATCTTTCAGGATTTGAAATAGCTCAACTGGAATTCCATCACCTCCACTAGCTTTGTTCATAGTGATGCTTTCTAAGGCCCACTTGACTTCACATTCCAGGATGTCTGGCTCTAGGTGAGTGATCACACCATTGTGAATATCTGGGTCATGAAGATCTTTTTTGTACAGTTCTTCTGTATATTCTTGCCACCTCTTCTTAATATCTTCTGCTTCTGTTAGGTCCATACCATTTCTGTCCTTTATCGAATCCATCTTTGCATGAAGCGCTCCCTTGGTATCTCTAATTTTCTTGACACAGTCAGGTTCAAAACAGAGATCTCCTGTCTCTACTTTAATCAGACAGGAGGTACTTATGTCCTCAGTCACTCAGTTGTGTCTGACTTTTTTGTGACCCTATGGACTGTAGCTTACCAGGATCCTCTATCCATGAAATTTTCCAGGCAAGCATACTGGAGTGGGTTACCATTTCCTTTTCCAGGAGATCTTCCAGACCCAGGAATTGAACCCATATCTCCTACACTGCAAGTGGATTCTTTACTGCTGAACCACTGGGGAAGCCCAGAACAGGAAATAAAACCACCCCAAATCTATGCCTTGTTATGATAAAGAAGAAACTGCAATTCTTCTTTTTCTTCCTCCACCCCCCTCAACTTTGCATATTGCACAGATTTTCTGTGTCCTTGAAAGGAAATCACATCATGGAGAAGAATCTCAAGGGCAGGTTCATGAAGTTAGTTTTAAATCTGTTGAGTTTAGAAAACTAGGAATAAAGGGGGGAACTTGCTCACTTAGTAAGAACATGTACAAAAAACCTACAGCTTACCTTGTACTTAACTGTGAAAGACTGAATGCTTTCCCTAAGGTCAGGAACAAGCAAATATAAAGATTTATGCTGGGTCCCTGGTGGTTCAGTGGTTAAGAGTCTGCCTTGCAATGCAGGGGACATGGGTTCAATCCCTGGTCAGGGAACTAAGACCACACATGCTATGGAGCAACTAAGCCCATGCTGCAACTAGAGAGTCCGTGCATTGCAACGGAAGATCCTGCATGATGAAACAAAGATCCTGCATGCTGAAACTAAGACCCAATGCAGCCAAATAAATAAACAAATATAAAAAACGATTTATGCCACTCTTATTCAACAGAGTCCTGGAAGTGCTAACCAGAGAAATAAAGCAAGGAAAAGGAAATGAAAGGCATTCAGATATTCTTTTCTGAAAGGAGAAATAAAACTAATCTTACTGTAGATGACACGATTGTTTATATATAAAATCCCAAGAAACCTACAAAAACCCTTATATAGAAAGTTCAGTTAAGGTTGCAAGAAACTAAGGAGCATACAAAGATCAACTGTATTTCCGTATACTGTCAATGAACATGTAAAAATAAAAAATGAACAAAATAAAAAATATAATACCAATTCTATTGTGTGAGTGTGGGTGTGTGTGTTCATTAAGTCGCTTCAGTCATGTCTGCCTCTTTGTAACCCTATGGACTGCAGCCCACCAGACTCCTCTGTCCATGGGATTCTCCAGGCAAGAATACTAGAGTGGGTTGCCATGCTCTCCTCCAGGGGATCTTTCCCTATCCAGGGATCAAACTCGAGTGTCTTGCGTCTCCTGCATTGGCAGGTGGGTTCTTTACCACTAGTGCCACCTGGGAAGCCCATATACCATTTACAATCACTCAAAAGAAAAAAGAGAGAGAGAGAGAATTACTGAAGTGTAAATCTAACAAAACATGTACAGAACTTGTATGCTAAAAATTACAAAACACTCATGAGAGACATCAAAGACCACCTGAATCAATGAAGAAATATACCATGTTCATGAATTGAGAGACAATGTAGTATAATGTCAATTATTCTCACATTGAATGAAGGACTAAACACAATTCCAAGCAAAATTACAGCATGATATTTTGTATATACAGACAGCTTACATTAAAATGTAAATGAAAAGGCAAAGGAACTAGAATAGGTTAGAAAATTTAAAGAATAATAAAGTGGGAGGAGTCACTCTACCTGATTTAAGACTCACACAGTGACAGTAATCAAGGCTGTGACATAAAGGTGGAGGGACTGCCTCACAGATCCATGAAACGTACTAGAGAACTCAGAAACAGCCCCCATAGGAGTATGGCCAGATTGTTTTTGACAAACTTGCAAAAGCAATTCAATAGAGAAAGGATAGTCTTTTTAACAAATGGTTCTGGAACAATTCAATATCCACATGCAATAAAAGTGAACATTGACCTAAATCTCACATCATAAACAAAAGTGAACCCAAAACAGTTCACAGATTTAAACATAAAACTATAAAGCACTTCAAAGAAAATATAAGAGAAAATCCTCAGGATCAAGGACTTGGTGGCATGTTCTTACAGATGATATTAAGAGCATGATCTATGAAAGAAAAAAATAATGACCTGGACTTCATCAAAAGTTAAAATTTTTGTTCTGTGAAATATCCTGCTAAGAAAATGAAAAGACAAGCTATGGATGGGAGAAAATACTTGCAAACCATCTATCTGATGAGGGACTCATACCTAAAATACATAAAGAATTCTCTAGACTTAATGGTGAAAAAACAATTGGATTAGAAATGGTTAAAAGACATAAAGAGATATTTCACCAAAGAGGGTATGAAAAAGGCAAATAAGTACACGAAAAGACATTTAACATCATTATCGATTTGGGAAATGCAAATTAAGACTATGATAAGACATCACTACACACTTACTAAAACAGCTAAAATAAAAAACAGTGTTAATACTAACTGCTGTTGGGGATGCAGAGAACCCTGTCTCATACACTGCTGGTGGGACTAAAAAATGGTGCAACCACCCTGGATAAGATTCTGGCAGTTTTCCCACAAGCTGAATATATATTAACATATATGTTGATCCATGCAATCATACTCCTAAGCATTCATCTCAGAGAAATAAAACTTATGTTCACAGAAAAACCTGTTCATAAATGTTCATAGTAGATTTATTCATAACAGCCCCTAATGGAATCACAATGTTCTTCAATAAGTGAATGGTTAAACATAGGTGGTACATCCATAACATGGGTTATTACTCAGCAATAAAAGAACAAACTAATAACCTAGATCGATGTCAAAATCATTACATTGAGTTAAAAAAAAAATCAATGGCAAAGGTCATGGACATTAAGATTCCATTTATGTAACATTCTCACAATGATGAAAATTATAGAGATATAGAACAGATTAGTGGTTGCTGCGACTTGGGGATAGTGGTGGGGGAAAGTATTGTGAACACAGAAGGAATATCATGGGACTTTCCTGGTGGTCCAATAGTGAGACTCTGAGCTGCCAAAGCAGGGTGCCTGGGTTCAACCCCTGGTCAGGGAACTAGATCTCACATGCTGCCAAGACCCAGTGCAGCTAAGTAAATAAATACATTTTAAAAAAAAGAAGAATATCACAAGGGAGATCTTTGATGATGGAATATTCTATACCTTGGTGTGTGTATGTGTTCAGTTGTTTAGTCACGTCCAACTTGTTACAACCCAACAGACTATAGCCCACCAGGCTCCTCTGTCCATGGGATTTTCCAGGCAATAATACTGGAGCAGGTTGCCATTTCCTCCTCTAGGGGATCTTCCCAACCCAGGGATCAAACCTGCATCTCCTGCATTGGCAGGCAGATTTTTTTACCACTTGAGCTACCTGGGAAGTCAGTTCTATATCTTGGCGGCTACACACAAAGTCATACACGTGATAAAATGAGACAGAACTATATACACACTTTGTACCATTCTCTCTCTACTGTTTGTGAATCTGTCATTTCAAAATGAAAAGTCTTTTAACAATCTGTTGAGTGAAGTCTGAAAAAGACCTGCCTTTTATAGTCATAAATTCCACTGCATTTTTCTTTCAATATTTTAACCCTTTTCAAAATTTTAAAAGGCTCAAAGCCACTGTTTGTGTGTGTGTGTGTGTGTGTGTGTGTGTGTGTGTGTGCGTAGCAGAGTTTTATTAAAGTGAAAAATGACGGAGAAAGCTTTCGACACAGACATCAGAAGGGGGACGAGAGTGCTCCCAAAGCCACTGTTTTGACTAACTCCTTACTTTCTTCCGACTTCTTTGGCTGTCATCAAGCTGGGACTGTGGACCAAGCCACAGCTAACACAGAGAATGAAATGAAATGAGAGGATACCATGGCTATGCCCAAGGATTACCCTGATTTACTACTTGGAGGTGGGGGTGGGGGAGGGCTCCAAGGGACCCACAACAGTCTCCAGAAGCTCTGAAAAGGGCAAGAGGCTATTTGTCAAGCTGGGCACTTCAGGTGGCACTGGCTGCCAGACCTGGAGCAGGTGAAGGTCAAGCACTAGCTCCATGTCCACCTTCTAAACGGCCCCATCAGGCAGCGGGGGAGGAGATCCTGGGTGGAACATCGCAGAACAGACACGGTCAGCAAAGGACAGAAGGCGCATCTCACTCTGCATCCTGCTCATTCTTACCACGTGTGCCAAGGAGCTCCAGCACATCTGACAACTGGTTATTGGTAGCACACTGAAGATGAGGCGGTTAGATAGCACCATGGACTCAATGGACATGAACCTGAACAAACTTTGGGAGATGATGAAGGACAGGGAAGCCTGGCGTGCTGCAGTCCATGGGGTCACAAAGAGTTGGACACAACTGAGTGACTAAACAACAACAAAGCACATGGAGGAAGGCAGTGGCTATTAGCCAGAGGCTGTGTTTCAGAAGAGATCGGAGTCCACAGGGGATGGGGCTTCTGCAGGGTTGGGAGGGGTGGGAACTGGGCAGGAAGAGATCTTACCTCTAAAACAAGGTCTGAGTCTTCATGCCTTCCAATCGTAGTACTTTTATTCAAGACAAAAAAGCCTTCCGCGCTCTTTAGATAGGCTTTCATATTCTCTGCTTTCCCTAGAAAAGGTTTGTGGAAACAAATCTGGTTAGAAAAAGTCCTCTAATTATTCAATATCATATTTAGAATGAATGAAATATACCATAATGTCACAAAAGGAAAATCAGCAGAGGTAGGAGTGGATAGATGGATTTAACAATAATCATACTTACAATTCTTCATATTTTTAAGACTATCTTTAACACTGATATCATAGATAAGCTTGGTTCTGATTATCAGAGGATACCCTTTATGTAACTCAGAGCACAAATAAGCAATAGCAAAAACAACCCAAAAACAAATCTGAATTCCACTGATAATCACTCTCCAACTCCCACTAAGCTTAGTTTGAGGTTAGATATTTGCCATAATCAAGTACTAAGAATTACTGACCTACCACTTACTAGTTCTGTGACTCTGGTTGAATTACTTATTCTCTCTGTAAACCTCAGTTTTCTCATCTGTAAAATGGGGCTAGTAATACTTTGTATCCCAAAGGGTTTTGTGAGGATTGAATGCAGTGATGCATGTGAAGCATCTAAAATGGTGTTTGCTAAACACATTTTGCTCCTACTGTGATTATTACTATTACTAATCTTGGGTTTCATGAACTTTGACTCAAGGAACCCCAACCTTCTAAAGAGCTTTTTAAAGTGCAGAAGAGTAAATCATCAAGGAAATGGGCATTAGATGATACTTTCTTTTAAGTCACTGTATTCTCTTATATATTTAGGTAGAAAAACAGAATGATTTCCAAAGACAAAGTATTAAGATTATAGCTTAGTCAGGACTCTGTACCTACTTTTTCCTGGTGTTTTAATTATGAAAATGTGAAATACACAGAAAAGTTGAAACAAGTAGATGGTGAACTCCTATATAACCACAACCCAGATTCCACAATTGACCTTTTACTATATTTACTTTATCACATATCTACCCATGTATCCTTCCACCCATTTTATACTTCAACGCGGTTCAAAGTAAGTCCTGTATGTGTGTTTTGGTTGTATAGGTTGTTCCCTGGTTGCTCAGGCAGTAAAGGATCCACCTACAATGTGGGAGACCTGGGTTCGATCCCTGGGCTGGGAAGATCCCCTGGAGGAGAGCATGGCAACCCACTTCAGTATTCCTGCCTTCGGCAGGTTTCAAGATGTTGATGATAATTCACGTGACACAATACTTGAATTCCAATCTGAGAGATGTCCGGCTACACAGTGTGACATCCTCCATCTTAACACCTTGTTAAGAAAGTCTCTTTTCAACTGAAAGGCCACTGAAGTGTGAACTAGTTGTACTGTGGATAAAAACAAAAGTCATTTAGAGGCTTCCATGGTTGTCCAAGATCCTGAATGCCACAATGAGGATCAAAGAACCCATGTGCCACAACTAAGACCGGATGTAGCCAAATAAGTAAAGATTTTTTAACAAGAAAAAAGAAAAAACATACTATTAAAAACAAAACAAAAAACCAACAAATGAAAACAAAAGTCATCTGTGTGTGACTGTAACAAGTCTCTGGTCTGGTTCTGTTTTCCATCAACATCTCCACCATTTCATCCACTACCAAGTGTGAGGATGAACCCCTACTAAGTGTGAGGCACTGGGCTATCCTTTTACAGACATTGCCTCTTTTCATTCTCAGAACAACCTTGCAAGGTAGGTAGGTGTCAGTATTATCCCACTTTACAGAAGAGGAAACTGTGACTCAGAGAGGTTAAGGTCACACAATAGTGTGTGACAACTCTGGACCTTAGTCTATAACCACTGCACAAATCTCCAGTGTTGCTGGTGGGGCAGAGTGGGGTGGGGGAATTGCACGATCTGTTGATGCTTGGGACGTGAAACAACAGAAAGTCTTTAAAACCAGCATTCTATATGCTGAAAGGAAGATGAGACTCTACCTGGGGATAAGAGAAATAAAAATAAGCAGGGTAGTTTATATCTGTAAACTCTGAGGCCTGTGAATGTCCCACTAATACTGATGTTTCCATATAATGAGAAATAAAATTTAAGTTCACTGTCATGAACACAGGGGAAAGACATTTCCCCTTTCCAAACAACCATGCTCTATTGCCTTCAGTTATTAATCTTCATTGGCAGAGCACCATGTTATCTAGCAATTAATCTAAAAAGTAAACTGTCAAGAAATGTCTCTATTGTAGGAAAACCACAGGACAGGCCACTAGTTTAAAACTTAAAACTTGGGTCATGTATATATTTGTTGTCAGCTGTCCCCTGAGACGACCCCAAAACTGATGTCTTCTCTCTGCTTAGATGCCCCCCTTTGGGGCAACCTCCTGATCACCGTGGCTAAAGTTGCCCTCATTCATGTTATTCCCCTGTTAGTTTTCCCCTGCTGGGTTTCCTTCCTCTTACTTATCATTCTCCGACCTCTTCTTATTCCTTTATTTAGTTGTGTTTGCTGTCTGTTTCTCTTTCATTTGCTAAGCTATTTTTCCTGGAAAACCAGAACTGTGTTGATTTTGTCTTGGGTTTTGGGCCATACTGTGTGGCATGCGGGATCTCAGTTTCTGGACCAGGGGCTGAGCCCTCTCACCCCCTGCATTGGGAGCGTGGAATTAACTACTGGACCGCCACAGAAGTCCCTTGATTTTGTTAAGAAGCAATTCTTCATGGGTTTCTAGTGCTCATACCCATCTTCAGAGCAAAGGCACTGAAAGATTTTGTCCTGCACCATCCTTCCAAGGATGCTTATATGGCAAACAGCCTGGAGGATAAAGGTAATGTTTATAATAAAGAAAATAGCTCCTTCTGAGGCTAAAGTCAGGCAGGTTTGCTAGCAGTCCCTTTCAAAGACTGAGATTTCCTAAGTTTGGGGTTTCTTATCTGGGACACAGACTCACTGCATGTACAACAGCCACCCTGGCTGTTCTTCACCACCCCGAGGGACTTTCAGGGCAACAGGCATCCCTGTGCATAAGTAGCTCTGGCTGCCGGTTGTGTCTGCTGTGCTGTGAGCGGTAAAGTTCTTAGTTTCTGGCCCAGGAGTCTTGTCTTCTGCCAGTACCTATAAGCCGGGCAGGCTAACTTTCAAACAGAGTAAAACCTCACACCCTTTGCAGTTGTTCTGTGCAGGGCATCATCTCCAGTGCCAGGGCAGTGCCTGGCACACAGAGGTACTTGGGCAACACTTGCAGACTGAGTGAAAATAAAAATGACACCTCCAAGCAAGCCAGTGTGGCCAGCGGCTAGGAATCTCTGACAGTAACTACCTTTCATTTTTCCTTTCGGCATCTATCCTAGATAACTTCTTGGAGAATCTAAATTCTATCTCTAGCTTTTGGACTGGACAAGATTTCTCCACCTTAATCTTGCCCTGTGCATCACTTCTTTGTCTGAAAACACGGCAGAAAGTAATTTGAATGTGTTTAGCTCTGTGAATTCATTCTCACTCAGGGCCATGGAGCACCCACTACAATAAAGAGCAAAAGAGCTAAAATCATCTGCATTCCTCCTGACCACTCTGGATGGCTCAGAATTGGGCTATAGGAGCAAAACTTCCTTTGAGGGCCACAGAAGGCCTCGAAGTTCCTTAAGGAGAGGTGGGGGGGGGGGGGGCGCGGGGTTTATGACCATTGGGTGGGTATTGTCTATAAATCAGGGGAAACAAGGGTTCCTCTCTTAATTTCAGCGTACCCTCAGGACATCCAAAAGCTGGTGCCAAGCAGGTGCCTGAAGTTTCCTCGCAGGCTACCTCGGGGTGGGGGCGGGGGGGCTGCATTCAGGAAGGAAGGGCTGGTGTTGGGATAGCTTGTCTGGGGTGCTCCTGGCGACCCAAGCCTCGATCTGAGAGGAGTTCGGCCTCGGGTGGGGCACCGCCAGCCCTTGACCTAGCAGGGCTGGCCTCTTCCGGCCCGGGTTTCCGCCCGCCGCCTCCTTACGTGTCACTCTCACCTGGCCAGAGGAAGAAGCCCACGTCCCGTCCGCCGCCAAGAGCCCGGCCCGCTCGGGAGGCGCCAGGCTCGCTCCGGGCGAGGCCGCCCGGCCGCGCTCCCGCGGAGTCTCCAGCCGGCGGCCCGCAGCCCGCGCGCCCTCCCGGCCTGTGTACGCGCGTCGCCATGGCAACACCGCCGGGCCAGCCGCGCGGGTGAGGGGCGTGGCCTGCGAGGGGCGCTGCGCAGCGAGCACCCGGCGAATTATAGCCGGCCGCAGTGTCGCTAGCCTTCCCAGATCTGCGGTCTAGGGGTACCCAGCCCCATTTCGCGGACGGGGAAATTGTCTCGGTGGTCACAGAGGTAACCCAAAGTTTTTCATCGACGAAGAAGGAGACTCTATAATCCTTCCTGCTCTCCTTTGGTCTAGGCTGGGTGCGTTGGGAGGGGGGTGGTCAGGCATGGCAGGGTAGTGGAGCTGAACTAGAAGTTTGGAGGTTAGTACCGCCCCTCCCAAATATCTAGTTCTCTCTGTTGCAGAGTAGGAAAGAATAGGGTAAGGTGGGGGGGACCACCACTTCTGGGGGTGGGTGTGGATATGGGGGATGGGTGGGGAGAAAGGAATAATTTTGAAAGGATGAAGGATTCTTCCACTGTTGTTCAGTCGCTCAGCCATGTCTGACTCTTTGCAACCCCATGGACAGCAGCACGCCAGGCTTCCCTGTCCTTCACTATCTCCCGGGGTTTGCTAGAAAGAGGTTATTTACAAGCCCACAATCCTGCTGTTCTGTCCTTCCCTGGCAGAACTGACATTTATTCATTCATTTGTTCTTTATTTCTACAAACATCACCTGAGGCTCTACAAGTGTCAGACGGTGGCCCCAATGTTGACCCGGATCAGATTTTTAAGAAGCCCCCCATCTACCCATCCACGGGCCTAGGACTGGGTCGGGGGTGGGGATGGATGGAGTGTGTGGAGAAGACATGCCAATCCCATCTCCTCTCAACTTTTTCAGGTCAACCCCTTCTATTTGAGAGCAGAACAGCCCTGCTGACCACATACAGAACACCCCATTTCCCTGGCAGGAAATGACTGACAAGTTGCCCCTAGACAAACTCAAAACATTTATACAAAAAAGATGAAAGATGGCAGACTCCATCCTTGTCAATTAGAAGATAAAAGAGAGGCAATCACAGAGATTGGTGTGGGATGGAATATACGGTTAAGATGCTCACACATGCCTAGAGGGCTCTTAGAAATGCAGATTCCCTGGCACAGACCACAGAGATGCTGATTAAGCAGGTCTGGAGCATGGTCCAGGAATGAATTTGATGCATTATTGCCAATTCCTTGTGCATCGGTTAAGAGCATGGCAAAACCCCAGGATTTATTCAGCCCTGCAGTTGTGTTGCAGAGACCTGGGTTTCCCTGGTGGCTCAGACAATAAACAATCTGCCTGCAATGCAGGAGACCTAGGTTCTATCCCTGGGTCGAGAAGATACCCTGGAGAAGAGAATGACAACCCACTCTTGCCTGGAAAATTCCATGGACAGAGGAGCCTTGTGAGCTGTAGTCCATGGGGTCGCAAAGAGTCAGACATGACTGAATAACTAACACTTTCACTTTTACTTCCCAGAACCTGTCCCTAGAAATTTCTTCCAGGCCCTCAGTCAGCCTGGAAGGTTCTGCCTTCGCTAGTTCCCTTCAACCAGAAAGACTCTAGGAAAGTATGAGGTGTGACCGCAAAGGCCAGGACCTGAGTGGTAACTTCAAAGGAACAGGGAGGGTCAGGTTCAACTCCCCAGGAACTTTCCTGCTTCTGGGCCTTTGCATTTACTTAACCTGCCTGACAATGCGGGAGACATTAGAGACACCCTTTGATCCCTGCGTGGGGAAGATCCCCTGGAGGAGGAAATGGCAATCCACTCCAGTCTTCTTGCCTGGGAACTCCCATGGACAGAGGAGCCTGGCAGGCTACAGTCTGTGGAGTTGCAAAGAGTTGGACACAACTTATCAACTAAACAGCAACAGCCAGTGGTTAGGACTCCACACTTCTACTGCCAGGGCCTCGGGTTCAGCCTCTGGTCAAGGAACTAAGCTCTGTGGCTTGCCCCCTCCAAAAAAGTCAACATGAACGACAAAACAAAAACTTCACTGTATTGCCCTTCCCTTTGTCTTAACATGTATCACCTAGCATGCCATTTATTTAGTTTATTTATCTTATTTATTGTCTATCTCCCCACTCCCAACTCCTCCCTCCACCCCAATTTAAGCTCCATGAGGGCAGGGATTTTTTTTCCTGTTTTGTTCACTGCTGAATCCCCAGTACCTAGAACAGTACCTAAATGAATGAATGAGCAGGGGAAGCCTTTGCCCCCTGCCCCAGTCTTGCCTGCAACCTCTTGGGCTGCTGGAGCTGAACTGTCCTTACCCAGGACCTAGGCTTCTCCAGCCAGGACCCCTCTCCAGCCCCACTCCCATCTCCATGCTTATCTTTAGTGTCATCACCATGAGCGCAGAATACGACTTGCTCACTGCCAGCCAGACCCTATGGAGCCCACCCGGGCTGGCCTGGAGCTGGAGCAGCCCATGCCCCCTGCTAGGCTTGGGAGAGCATATGTTGCCACTAGTTCATCTCTCAGTGAGGAAATACTAAACCAAGAACAAAGTTGACATTCAGAACAGGGAGCAGAAAATGCCAAATCTTGATTGGACACCCTTCCCCACAAGTGGCCACATCTCAAAGGGTATGGGAATGTCTCGGGACCCAATTCCTTGTCATCCATTTAAATGTCAAAAACAGAGGATAAGTCACCCTAGTTAACTTGTGGCTTTATATCAGCATATCCTGGGATGAGTGAGAGTTGTACTTTGCAATGATGGGGTATTAAAAACACTGCCCTTGAGGAATTCCCTGGTGGTCCAGTGGTTGGGACTTGACGCTTTCATTGTCGTGGCCTGGATTCAGTGTCTGGTGGGGGAGCTAAGATCCTGCAAGCCACAGAGCATGGCAAAAAAAAAAAAAAAACCTTGAAGAAAAAAAAAATTAGAGATTTCTAGTTTCTATGGCCTCCTTGATGCCTGTAATCAATCAGTCTTACTGAGCTCTGGGTGGCTACCAAGGCTGTACTGTATCTCCATGAACATCCAAACACTGGGGTCGGAAGGGCCTGGGTTTGGGACCCAGTTCTGTTGTTGCCAGCTGTCCTCATGATACTGGAGTGAGTGATGTTAACTCGGGGATTTCCACCTGCTGAGCATGTCTCAATCCTTCTCTTGGATCATCTCACTTAATCCTCACCATAACCTGGTGCAGTAGGCGTGAGTGAAACACCCAGAACAGTGAGCTCTGCACAGAAGAACTCAAAGATGTCGTGATGAGTATTACTTCTATCAAATGACTCCCAGTTTAACAGGGAAGTAAGGCTCAAGAGACACGGAGGTATGTGCCCAAAGTGGCACAGCCAGAAAATCTGGCAGGATTCGAATCGAGATGACTGTGACGGGAAGGTATTTCCCTGGGGACTTAACAGGTGACAGCTGTCACCACCACATGCTCACCACCTGTTTTCCCTCAGCCCTGAGCAGGCTAGGTTCCTGTTTGTCCTGAAGGCTGGGCAGTGCCTGAGGCTGATGGAAAGGGGACTGAGGCTAGGAGGGAGCACCTGGGGCTTGTTAGCGAGCACTCCTGCTACCCACCCGGCTTCCTTCCTGCAGGACCTCTGCCCCATAAAATCTCCTTCTGCCCCAGTTAATTTCCCTGGATGGCCATTATTATTATTCATTTATTTTTGGGTGCCCTGGACTGTCTCTTGTTGCAGCGAGTGGAGGCTACTATTCGTTGTGGTGCATGGGCTTCTCATTATGGTGGCTTCTCTTACAGTGGAGCGCAGTCTCTAGGCACGTGGGCTTTAGTAGTTATGGCCTGTGGGCTCTAAGCAGGAAGTCTTCCTTGGTTGTAGTGCCCAGGCTTAGCTGTTCCGTGGCATGTGGAATCTTCCTGGACCAGGGATCAAACCCGTGTCTGCCTTAGCAGGCAGATTCCTATCCACTGCGCCACCAGGGAAGTCCCCTGGATCGTCCTTGACTGAGAAGAGCACTCCAGCTGGGCCCCTGCCCCAGACTTGCCTGTTTGCCCCCTGCATTCCTACACGAAATGAACGCTGGGAGAGGCAGGGAGGTTGCCCAGCCTTTAAGGGGTGAGAGAGAGCCAGGGAAAGAGCTGGAACAGGGGAAAGGGAGAGGAAGAGAGAGAAAGAGAGAGAGGGAGCATGAAAAGCAGGAAGTAGCTAAGCTGATGAGTTGGGTGACAGATGGAAGAGCAAAGAGCCACTAGAGGCTCCCCAGTCCATTAATAACCTGACCTTCTGGGCTAAGTAAATGCAGGTTTATACACACACACACAGACTCACAAAAATAAATTCATAACACAAAACTACAGCTAGTAACTGAGGCCCACTGCACCTGTGCTAACCCCTGCTTCTGGCAGAAAATGAGAAAACACCCACTTGTTTTTGTTTTTTTTTTCTCAGAAGCAAGGCTGGTCTGAGACATTCATTTCTCTTGCAAATCAAAGTTTCGCCAGGGGAGACAGTCTGTCTCTTCTGTTTGAAAACTGCAGATGAAGTATGCTGACCCCATCTATGATGGGACTGATTTTGTGTGTTTTATTCTGTCTTTGCCTCACTTCTTTCACCTGTAAAATGGAGATTAATAACAGCATTGACTGTAAAGAGCCAATAGGTTAATATGTGTGAAGTCCTGAACTATGCTTGATACAACAGACTGCCTCTGTGAATGTTTGCATTATTGTCTGTTTTTGTTTGTTTGTTTTCTGTTGTTTTCTTGATGATATGGAAGGACAGTCCAATCTCAAGCCTGGGCACAAGTTCTCTCCCCTGGGGAGAACTTTGATTTGCATCGTCTCAGTCCCAACCCAGAGCAAACTTGACCTCTGAACAGCCCCGTATCATCTTGCTTGTTGCCCAGGGATCTTTCTGGGCGTGGGTGTCAGAGGCAGGCTGAGCTCCTCCGTTGAGCACTGCTAGAGGGATTCTGAGAACCCAGCTGGTCTCTGTGGGGTAGTACCTGCAGGACA